TCCACATCTGAGTGAACATAGCATAACATGTTTTAGGGCCCATAAAAAAATAAAATTAGGATTCTAGAGGATAACCAGAGAACGGAAAACTACGATATACAGAGGTCTGCATTAAAACAGGAGGATCCTTCTAAACGAAGCATGCTCACCGGTTTAGAAGCCAACGTTTTCATCGAAATAGTCGTGGGGTGAACCCTGTGTACTTCACGTTGCCCGGACTCTTGTGATGTAAGGATGCTTAAATAAGCGGGTGGATTTACGGGCGAAAGCTCCCAAGGAATAAGGAAAAAAATTTGTCTACCAAGAGTGAAATTGAGGCTTTTAATAACAATGATGTGTCAACAGAGTAAGCCTGTTAGCTGTTTTGAATAAACTTTTCTACTGTTATTCAGCGGATATGATGGTGTAGATTTTAGAGAACCACTCTAATCTGCGGGAAAGCGCTCTATTGCTAAGGTTCCTGAGTTTGAATAACTTCAACGGAAAGAAACATAACTGGTATGTGACACTGTAAAATTCGACAACCATAAATTCTTAGTAATGAAAAGGCAATGAGCCCTACGTTTATCGCATATTGTTTGTTTAAATTATTAATATTTGCTGGCTGCCTCTGCACCTCTCATGCCGTTTTCTTCAGTCTTCTCTTTTGGAAGGTACTGCATTGGAGCACTGCAAATTTACAGTAATGCCGCTCTTTACGTTCGTATTACCTGAACTATGTTTTGAATTGACTTAGACCTACAGCCGATAAATATCCAGAATATTGTTAACAAATACGATGAACAACGGAGCAAATTTCATCGTGAAATCTGTTTATCATCGCGGAGTTGATCCCTTGTATCTGCTTATACCGAAATAAAGCTGTACTTGCTGTCTACTGTGGAGTTTTATAAATTTTCAAACCCTTATTATTTGATTAAATGATAACTCTAAACTATAGTAGCCCAAAACGAAACTACCACTAGCTGCCAATCGGTTTGGTCAGAAGTAGAATTGAGTAATTTGAAATTAACTTCTATATGCAAGTAATGCAATGTAAAAGAATTGTTTACTTGAGATGATATTCTTGCATATGTTCCAAAAAAGTCCCTCCAATTTCTCACAGGCGTCCTCATAGTTAGGTTAAACCAGTTTCTGTAGATAGATTCACCAAGGTCATCAATCCGTTCATTAGGCAGTTTCGCTTTGGGCTACTATAGTTTAAATTCACCAATGAGTGCAAGCTCTGCATCCAATATCTTATAACTTTTACCATTAAAAGTAAACATTACAAACTTCTTATAAGTCTTCTAGAGTTTTTTCCCAATTTTCCCCATTTTTTATGTCGTAAAACAGTCCTCATTCTGAAATTACACTTGGCAAATATGATCATGCCTGTAAAAACGGCATGTCAATCATGTAAACACATAATTTTTGTGAATAAAATATTATTATAACTGCTCAAACAACGTACCGACAGCTTTTCTTATTGAATAAGAACATTTTATGTCCTGATCGTTTATTTTCGTGAGGGCAGTGAGCTCGTAAAGCAGTGGAGCCTGGCCAGATACATATAAATGCAGTCAAAGTGCAATAGAATTAGAATAGTTCATATATAATATGAAAGGTATAATCACTCTACATTTCCTTCTGAATAACTCAATCACTAACTATCCCTGGGCGGCCACCACCTCTTTTATTATAGAGGTCCTACAGTCGCGCATACAAAAGAGCCCGTATTAGTTGTCAAATAGATACAGGGGCTTCAGAGTTTGGTTCAAGCTTCTAAAACGTTCTGTCCTTGTCAGCATTTTATTTAAAACGTAAAGATGAATGGAAGAAGGTTGCTTGTCGAAAGACTATCGTTGGAGAATATTGGTTAGGTCAGGATGCAGTGTCACTCTTTCACGACGAGTTGTAAACACTGAGGTGCTGCATTATTATCTCCAGAATACTGGTGTTGGTATTATGCATGCTGCGAGTGGTGTTCGGAGAGAATCTCGGATCCCCATGTTTTGCTACACAGTTATAACAGTTCTTAGGTAACACAGTCCGTACAAGAGCCTTAACACTGAGACATGTTCTCAGAAAATGGTTACAGTGTCAGAGTGCAGGTTAGAACCTCATGTACTAACATTTAGTGGCAACGTCTACTACATTAAGGCAGGCTGTTAGATATCCGGATAAGAATAATTAATGAATGATCTCATGACGATGTGTACACGAAGCTCCGATTTACTAAGTTCTAGTTACTAAAGAGGAGCAGGGCAGCATTGTATTAGATCTATCATAAGAACTTTGACAACTGTATCAGAGAGCATTGACAGATGAATTGCTAGAATTCATTCAGGTATAGTTTAAAAGCATCTCACAAACAACTGGCGTTCTAAGGAAAAGCTAACAGAGAGTTACCAAATAATAAGGATGTAAAGAAATACAGATTCGATATGGGTCAGGTGGCTGCTCGAATACCCCAAAACTTGTGCCGATTTACGTCGGAAAGAAAACCAACCAACCAGGGGGCATGCGCCTTAGTAGGCTCAAACGGTCAATATCTCACCAGTCTGGAAGTGGCTGAAACAACTAAACAGCAATGTGGGTGTTACCGTTACGGACCAAAATGGTGACACTACTATTTCACAGGAGTAAGACCTGGTGGCTACTTCCCAAATAAACCCTGCAATAGTACTAAGAAAGCTACAGCGACTCACATCTGGGAAGTCCCCAGGTTGTGACGACATCAGACCACCTGTTCTGAAACAGTGCACCGAAGGGAGTGGAAAAGAGGCATCGTTTCCCCTATTTTCAAGGGTGGGGATAGGCAAAATGCCGCTAGTTATACACCAGTAGCTCTACTCCAAGTGGTTTCAAAAGTACCGGAAAGTATTAGTGGCGATCACATCAGGGAAAATCTCGATAGGTCTAATATACTCCATGAAGCCCAACACGGTTTCAGGAAAGGCAGATCCTGCATTACTAACTTACTGTCAGCTTGGAACGATTGGACATCATGCTGGGATATGAATTTTCCAGTCCATGTGGTCTTCCTAGACTTTGAGAAGGCATTTGACACCGTTCACCATGATCTTCTCCTACAAAAAATAAGCCAGACAGGTATAGATAAGCCACTTCTGTCATGGTTAAGGGACTACCTAGCTGAAAGGCAATTTTGCACTAAGGTCAATCGAATTCGATCATCTGGGCACAGCTCGTCATCAGGAGTGTCGCAGGGTTCTATCCTAGGACCAGTGATGTTTTCGATTTTTATCAATGATCTACCATGCTGTCTAAGCTGCCGGCTCTTCTATACGCTGACGATGTATAGATATGGAGGGCGATAAGGTGTCCGGAGGACTCAGATAGGTTACAGGAAGATCTAAACCTTCTGAAAGACTGGGCGTGGCCAGTGGCATGACTTTCAACCTAAGAAAGTGCAGAGTAGTGAAGTTACGCACCTGTAGACTACAGAATGCAAGTTATACCCTGTGCAATGAATGCTTGTCCTACACAACGTCAGGACGCGACTTAGGTCTAGTTCTAACGGAAAAAATGAACACAAGCGTAAAGTACACGGGGGATGTAGCGAGGGCATATGCTGTCATATACTTTACACATAGACAGTTAGGTGCACTCACTCCTGAGCTCTTTCTCAGGTTGTACCAAACAAACGTCAGACCACACCTTGAAGTGCATAATATTATTGCAAACCCGCTGCTTAGAATAGACGCCAACCTCTAGGAAAGAGTCCAACGACGGGCAATAAAAGGAGTGGTTGGTCTCCGAAAAAACCATATGATAAAAGGCTGAAGAAGTTAGGCCTATTCACACTTAGTTACCGTCGTCTCAGGGGGGATTTTATTACTGCCTACAAAATAACAAATGATCAGAATCACCCAAACAAAACTGTTCTGCCATTGAGTAGGTATATGCTTCCTCGTGGAAATCTCAGCAGGATAGCTCACCAGAGGGCAAGGACTAGGGTGCGCTCCCTCTTCTTTCACTGCGGGTTTGTCATCCCTGGAGTTCCTTACAGGCAGATGTAGCTATGGCACCGTCTGTGGATGCCTTTAATCGAAGGCTGGACAATCATGCAGCGACACAAGGACTGCATCCAAATGGCCTATCCCCTTAAAATCGCATACACCATTCAGGGTAGACAATCAAACTTGTCGTTTTACTTCTTTACATTCTCTCCCGTCTTACTCTCCTGACAACTCTAACTACACCTATTATTATTATCACTATTACCGATATATATATATATTAAGCATATTATTCCCCAAATTTAAGTTTTCTTATTCTTTTTCTGTCCGTTAGTCTGAATAACTTCAATAATTATATCTATTATTATCTCTTTTCTTTTGAAGACGATACCGGAGGATTAACTGGTGAAAGGATCAACTCCATTCACAGTATTAACAGCCTAAACACACCTCATACTACAAACCATATATAATTAATCCTAGCACTACTCCATTGGGAGTCAACCAAAGCTACGACAGTCGAGTGGCGGGCAGGCTACGAAGACGTTTACCGAAGATCAGGAACCCATACCTCACAATCAAGAGGCGAGCACAAAACAATCAAATTGGTCTATACTAGGTCAGTATTGGATATTGGATATGTGTGACACAAACACACTTACAGTATTCATCTCCTCGGTCACCAGATTCATCAAAGATAACAATGCTTTCCTCCATCTGACTCTTACACATTCTTTTCCCGTGGTCACCACTGAAGATAATGTCAGTCCTTACCATTGGTCAAAGGGAAGTGACTCAATAAAATTTGTCCGTCTCTACAAAAAGGCAATAGTACAGTTATATAAGGAAAAACCGAGACATAATGGGCAGTGATACCGCGCAGAAAAAAAGTCAGGCGGATAACGCTTGCTGGTATATAATAAGGTAGAAATGTAACAGACGTGCGAATCATCCCAAACTGAAAGTCGCACAAATGCCGCAGCTTTGATTCGGAATAACAAATAGTGTTGAAGAGGCGTTTTAATCAACCATTGCGTCGGTCATTCAACCTTCAAGGTTTCACCGGTATTTCGAAATCACGAAGGTCTGAGTTGCGCATTTCGTTTCATTGAAATGAACTCTATCATCTTTGATGATGTTGCGAGTTCCATATTTAAGCTGAAAATGTACCCATATTTTGATATCGCCAACTATATTTTAATGAGTATAGCTGTGAAGGAAGACACCCCACAATCAGGTTTGTTTACACTTTGATTTTTTTTAACTTATTAGGTTCTGTGAGTTTTTCGAGACGTCATCCATTTTCGTGCTGGCTCGCTACCATGTTAATGTGTTTCGGCGGAGCTATACTCTCAAACTTCATCTGTGGATCGCCTTTGTTTGAGTGTTTTGATGACACAACATCAGTGTTAACTGCAACTATAGTATGGTATGTCACTAGATTTTTGCCCTAATTTCCAGGTATCTCATCAATTATCTTCCATTTGACCTTCTTTACCGGCTTTGTAAGGTGCTACCTATACGCTTGCTGGTTTGCTCACTAAAAGAAGTCCAGAGAGCCAAAAAGATCTTCATTGGCGTTCAACACGGGCTTCATGTGTTCCCCAATTCTCCTGTGATGTGCGTTCTCCTAGGTTTATTAAAAGGTGAGTTTATTCGGTAGGTGTTATACTTTTTGACATCAAAATCAATGTTTGTAGGTGCTGGTAGTCTTCATATTCGACCAGTCTCAAACTATGTCATGGGCATCTGGCTTCCAAGAAACAATCCATTTGTAAATATCAACTTGTGAGTATGGTCAAATTTAAAGTGTTTGTTAAGTTCGACCGAATGTCGATGTATCTACTGGTTGTAAAGTTTAGATTCCAGGTGTGGAAATCAACTAGTTAGAATGTTTAATGGGGTCTACGGGTATGAGGAGATTCTAAGTCTTAACAGAGGCTGTATTGCATTCTGCCGAAAGCGAAGCAGTCATACATAGCTTAACGAAAAGGTGTTTTTAATGTTGAAGTAAAGTAGTTGACTCATCCTGCAAGCATATTATCTACTGAATCCCAAGCTGATAAACCGACAAAAGTGAGTCTTACAATTTCGTTAAGACGGCTCTCTATTTTTGGCCAGGCCTTTCCTGGCGCTAACCGACGTCACACCGATAATGACATTTCGCTATAAGTGAATAGAAGTTCGGGAGAGGATTTTCACTCCTGAAATATGTGAACTCTGATCATGCCTTAGTTCATGCACGTGTATGCCTGTGACTGAGAAGCTGTGGATTCCATATATGTCTAGCGCATCGATGCAAACTTAATTTCTCTTTTCATTATTGTATATTAATATTATTATTCCTTACTTATGTCGAGCATAAGGCCTCGGCGACACTCCTCTGCCATCACTTTTGACTAGCTCCACGACTGTCCGCACTTTCTCGTCTCTTCATATGATCCTCAATATGTTACCCTCCGGGGCCTAACTCATCGACTCCCATTCGTGTTCCACTCGACAGCCTGTATTTAAGGAGTAGATATTTAAGCATGCATTTAGATATGACGGCAGTACTTGCCGGTTTGGTGTAAAAACAGTAGTGGAAACAGTCAGTAATTTAGATAGTTTAAATTGAGCAAGGAAGTAAAGGCAAGTGGATTTATTCAGCTTCGTTCAAATTAATCCTGGCATACTCCGAACTTGACGAGGTGTGGAAGTTGTTCAAGCTGACTAAAAGTCTTTCCAGAGACCAGGATCAACGAAGGACGATAAAAGCAAAAGGAACAGAAAAGACACTAACAATGCATACTGCCCTATAACCTTTTACGAAAGGGAATTTCGGGAAGTTATTACAAGTAAGACGACATCGAAAAAAGATGGAATTTTAGTAACTTTCCAAGGGAAACAACTAGAACATTGGGTAGGATACCTTAAGTGTCAGTCAAGTTAGTCTACGTATGGGCTACACTTGTACATCACTGTACGTTAGATGTGGGATGTAGACACGAGTCTTCCAACTGATGTTGAGGTTGAGAAATAAGTTTCTCATCCATAAGGGTCAAAATAGCAGGTTCGGATGGTTTTAACCATAGAGTGTTCAGTACTTCTGGCGTAAAACGTTAATCATTCCGGTTTATAACAAACAGGAGAAATTTCCCTGTCGTAAATAGAGGGTGTTCAGCTTGACTAATATACTACCTAATATCCTGATGTCTATAATCCCACTAAAACTAAGTAGGGTTTACGGAAAGGAACTCGAAAGGACGGGACAGGTGTCAGACTTGGACTTGAGTGTACTGATCAATCTTCATTCAAAATTTTCTGCAGCACAGACATCCGGTGCTAAAGACATTCTTTCACCCTAACTCTTCACTTTACTCTGTCATTCAAAAGGAGTTGCAATATATAGCTCTGAATAGAGTTTCAGGTAAGTATTTTATGTTATTCAAGGTACTCTGGTCTAAGTTCTGCAACAGCGTAAAAGTCTATGGAGACTTGTCATCCAAGGCGACAATAACGAGTGGTGTTCATCAAGAATATTCAGAATATCGCAATAAACACCTCCTACCTTTAAGCAAAACCATGTGGATAACTGATGGAACAGCTCATTTTTGTCGAAAACCTAAGGAATATATTTTTTGATGAATCTTTATCGCCGACTTCTTCAAGAATATTAAATAAGGCAATCGAACCCAGACGCGTACTAGTTTGTCTGCATATTGTTTCGATATACATGTATAATTCATTGGCTTTAGCATTCGACTTTCAGTTGGTCGGTCAAGGGTCCGGAAATTGCTCCGTCTGCTTTAGTTTGGACAACTGGACATGATTATCTGCTCACAAATTGAGTGTGGCTGGTATCTGAACACAAAAAATTTTTCCCAGAGAACTGATTTCTTCTGATCTACTCACTTGAGATCATCTTGCAAAAGCATAAAATATACGTCACTACTGCCAAATACGTTGGCAATTCGTTTATTTATGAGTTACAGAAACTCTATTAGACCGTTTATTATAATAATAGAATTCGGGCTCTGTGTTAGTGTATAATTCCCTAGGAGAACAATCTTATTTGGTAGAACCAATACCACTTGTAGTACTTTATCACTGTGCTACATCAAATAATTTTATGCATTTATGGAATTAGATCGATTTTTGGCCGTCTTCGTGCAGACATACATATAGTGTCAGGGAAATCTCAGATGAAATAATGAAGGTCAATTGTTCTGTGCAACGCTCCCCACTCTGTCCTACTGAAGATTTGCCAGATGTTGCTGAGTTGGGAACTGGTAATACATCAGTTCCCTTGAGGTTACGGATATGTCTTGTTGACAAGTGGCAACAGTCATGAAACCTAGGCAATGGGAATCCTGTTAATTGCCTCCAACCATTCAACATCAATGAAGGGTTTAACGCGTTGACAAGTCTCCTAGTTTGGCTATTGCATTGGGAATTTGACTGGCAGAATTCAGTCAACACTCAGGACTTTACAACATAGAAATGGTTACTCCCTAACTATCTACTGCTTACACGCTCCTTTGGAACTTCTGGTTCCTAGATGTGTGTTGAGTTTGGTTAGAATACAACTTGTCGTTTCTTTTTACTATATTTTCCCAGACATTTTACCTCTGTGACATTTCCTATCTATGTTAGCTTACAATTACCAAAAGTATTTATCATTCTTACCACTTATTTCAAAGTGGTCGTTGGCCAGAGGGTCATATTCTGCTTAAAAATATGCAGTATGGAAACCTTTCTTCATTATATCTGTGGACTTGCTCCATAAAATACTGCCCTTTATTTACTGCTTTTTCTTTGCCTACTTTTCATTTATCAAGCACCTCTTTTTAATGATTTAGGTGCGGGCTATTGTGAGATGAAACTAATACAGCGTCTTGTTCGTGGTGTGTGGCTACCAGCGTCTAATGAATTTCTCCACCCCACTTTGTAAGACATTGTAGTGTGTTTAGAATACGCATGGGGTTATGCATGCATTTATATTTGACTGCAAATACGTTAATTTCTGGTACTTATTGCGTTTGTGCATGTCTCCGCTTTTGTGCTGTTGGTTAGTATTATCTCATTGTGTATCTGTTTCTGTAGCACAACAAAGATCTCATTGCTGGCGGCTATCGCATACTACAGTCATCACTTGGAGTTAATACCTCTACCGGAAAATCAATTATTCTTGGTCATAATGGGTTTATTTGTTTATCTTCGGTAAGTACATTGTATATAAGTTTAAGCTGATTGAAGTTATTGGCTGTATCGAAACCTTCGCTACTGTTTATTTGTGTTATTTCTAAGACTATTCGATATTTAACTGTGATTTTCTAGATAGTTTTTACATTCAAATAATATAAATTGTTTGCATCTTAGCCTTTACCTATCAATAATGGAACAATCAGTTACATACGGACTGTTGTTCTGCTGTGAGAAAATCCACACCTAGTTTCTACGTATTTCCAGATGTTGAAAATTTTGTTGAGTGACAAAATCTCATTTTATTCTTCAACCAGTAAGTTTTATAAATGGAAAGTGTTTTGTGAAAATTGTGTATGCAAAGTTTGCGTACAGGTGCATCATGACAGGTTGCCGCACTTCGCCATATTACATGAAAAGAGAGCAAAAATAAAGTGAATATTGACGTAAAAGGGCAAAATAAAATTTATGAAAATGTCCGGAATACCGACGACTCTAAAGGTTGAATGCCTCTGTGGCATTTTGTCCGATCTTAAGCAATACCACCAATAGTCTCAAGCTACTGATTCTTAGCATTCTGAGTACCAGAATCAGGCGAATCACGTGACTGTGAGGGGCAGTTATAGACTTTATGAATTGGGACCATGTTTGGACTCATTTACCTCAAACGGATCCTTCGTGTACAAGGCTATGAGCCACACCTACTGTGTACAGGCCGATGGTACTACCCAGTTTCCTATGCTGAAATAAGTGGGGTGGTATTAAGACCGTGGGGTTACTGACTGAAAGATATATGTCAAAGCTAATAAGTCAATGGAATTCTTGGCGGCTCAATATGTGTAACTTACACCAACCCCCCTAATTAACTGTGTTTCATTAATTTGTTGAATGTTATATGGTACTCAATAAACATAACATTTGGTGTAGTTTTTTCTTACCATGTACGTAGATATCCATAGCAAGTGTTACTAAATTTTCATACGCTTATTTCCTTTTATGGATATGAATAAAGCGAGAAGAGCGATTTGTGAGAAATAAAATGTTATCATCGTTTATTTCATCGACTTGTCACCAGTTGAGTCCAGCTTAGAGAAAATAATAAGTTTTAGTGTTCCATTACAAGTTTTTTTCGATGTGCTTTTCTGCATTCAGGTTGTGTTATTATTAGCTGTTTGAACTGACTGAAATTTGTTTCAAGATAGTGAGAGATTTAGTAACCTACTAGAATTATTTTGCACTGTTTAACTACCCAAAATGCATAGACTAAGCTTCTGTTATAATATGTGTACTCATTTCTGAGAAAAATAATTTCTCTGGAAATGGCCGTATAGCTTTTCTGATCACCTGCAACATCAGGTTTCCATCAATTGTGTTATCACTATTTAGACAAGTATTTCGTTAAATTATTTTGATAAAGTGGTCTTATCATTTACTTCATTGACTGATAGATTGGGTCTATGTCGATATGCTACTTAATTTAAGCATCAGTTCTCTAGGAATTTCCCTCTAGATTTCTACTAATTTCCAGCCGACTTTACTTACTCAATTGTCCACATGTGTTGATATGGATGAAGATATACGACACTAGTATTCGATGTTCATGCGGACAGAGGGGATATTTATGTCGTGTGATATTACGGTTTATTCTGTAGGTGACCGTTGATTCGTCTTCTTTTGCCATTTCATCCTTCGGTGTGTATAATGGGGGATTTAATAAGCTAGTGAGTTACACCAATCCCCAAAGATATTCATTTGCTTACTTATGTTCTTCAAACTAGTTAGAATCGATCATCCATGAATTTTCGGAGACAACCTTGTAATTATTGATTGATCCAGAAGGCTATTTTTGAAGATAATGGAAGCAGGGAATATAATAAAAATAATCTACACCAGATATAAATCCAATATCTTACAGAATGTCACTAAAATATTCTGCCAACTGAGCTATGTTCCTTGACAGTTAGTCACTTCTTAATCAGTTCTTTAGGCATGCTAGTAAGTGTATGAATGGATACTTGTGGCATATGATCTAGGTCGTTGTTCCCTGGCTTCTAGTTCATTACAAACTTTCTCGACTAGTATTTCTGTGTATTTGACCAAGGTAAAGTAAGCTTTCTTTTCTTGTTAACTAAGCGTTTCCGACTTAGCTTATTGTTTAGATTGTGAAATCATGTCTCTTAATACAGTTTTTTTTACAAGCAGCCGAAAAACGTGTATCATTGGAACATGTAGGGGGATGCAATCTCGTGCTATTCTTCAGAGAATAATTCCTGATCAAGTCATTCGGAAGATTTATTGAAACAAGGAGGCTGGTAGTCTTAGTTTAACTTAAATCAGTTTGACATGGATCTGCCTTAGGAAATCCTGAAATGATAAAAATTTGACCATCGAGATTTTATTTCCAAAGAGATATGTTAGTCTTTATCTTATATATTGTGATCCATCTTGTTGTATGATGCCTAAATATTTTAGTGGGGTCGTTGTTATTATTTGAGATCGCTTTCTGTATCTTAGGCATCTACCTCGTTATCGAGTGTTAACTGATGCAATCAGTCCTCAATTTCTGAGTACAGAACAACGTCTATCGATGGATTTAGCAATATTGATGCGAGTTTATTAACAGCAAACTATCTCTATACACGAAGAAGTACTTTGGCCCACGACAACAAATAACTGATCGGTCAAGTGGACTGCAAACTACTTCACTAGGTGCTAAAGCCATGGTCTTTACCACGGAGTTGTGTTTTAAAATACTGTACGTGATATTGATAAAGTCGCTTTCGCATTTGTCTAGCAAGTCTAAATTTATGAGCGTAGATTCTCTTTGTTGTTGTGGCTTGTCGGCTTCGTGTGATGAGTGCTGCGGGAATAAAAACTCTGTCCATCCACTTAATCCTAATTAGATGGGTGGTGTAGCATATAGTCACACTCCAAACTTGTCCCACACTCTAACATGTGGACTTATACTAAGTCACCAAATTGCATGAATCCCATAAATTTTTAAATTTCAGTGTTTTTTTATTTTTTATCACGTTCTTGTTCATAGTGTGGTTTTTACCTGTTCACACACACACTCATGCACACTTTGAAATAATTCTGTCTGTTTTTACTTCAGAATTACAATGATCCTACTAGGATTGAAGGACCCATTTGTACCTTTTGAGAATGCTGTATGTAAAATCATGTTTGGCGGCACTGTTGACGCTATTCGCAGTGCTTTTGAACGTAGTCGTAGTAAAACATCTGAGACTGTGCCACCTAATCTATCAAGTGTTAGTGGAACAACCGCTTCGACCGCAACAATGAATATGCCTGGAAGTGCAAACTTTTCTTCAACTGGTGCGGGTACAGGACAGACTAGTCCAGGTTTAGCCAACAGTAATGCGAACAGTGCAAATTCACCGGGGATGAGGGAAGCGGTCAGTCGTCAAACTCCATCACCAAGTGACAAGAAACGTGACTGATGCGTGTACCTAAGATAACTGCTAATAGAACTACATTGACCTTATATTTTATTGGTCAAAATTCATTGTTTCTCCTTTTATGGAAACATTGTAATGTATTCCAGAAATTATGCCGTAGTTGGCGTATTATGTATATTAGAAATGTGTATCAGTGTCTGTCTGCTTCGTCATGTGAGAATCGATATTTGCTGAATAAAAAATAGACAGTCAGTCTACTTTGATTAAAAGACACGCTTGTAACTGATTGAATATATACCTTACGTCAAACTGGTTTTATGATTGCTCTTGAAACAATGCATGGGAAGGTTGGCTGTTGTGGTGTTTCTATTGTCTTTTCACCCTGTACTTAAATTTCTTTAAATAAATAAGTTACTAACACTTAATAAACTTTAGTGAAAAATCTGTACTTTGCATTTTATTTCTTTCCGTCTCCTCTCATTTCCACTCAATAGTATTTTACTCATAAATTAGTCTACATTAGATTGTTAAATATGGAGATTTTCCCTATTGTCTTCCTTTTCCATTGGCTCTATCTGTCTCCCTCTTATTTGTCCGTCTATTGCTCTCTGTTATAGATCATGGCCTTAAAGTAATGTTAGTTTTATCCAGTAAAATGTTTTGCATCAACCAAAAACAGATGGGTGACAATTATTTGCTATTGTTGAAGCGTTAGTGTGTAATCATTCTTGAACTTGGTGGAATATGAGCGAAGGTGACATAAAAGCTCCGGAAAGTCAGCAGCAAGCAGAAGATGAGTACCTGAAAGATTTTACAGATCTTTAGCCTTCAAACGATCGCGGAATCCTCAAAAACGTTCTGCGTTGGGGGACTTGAGAAGGGGAACCGTGAGTTGAGTTGGAGATACTATCGTAGGGCATTATGTTGGCACCTACTATGATGTTGATGAAGAGGGTAAATCTTCCGATTTCTCGACCTGCAACTTAAGCGAGAGCACATCAGAGACGAGACCTAGAGAAAGTACATTTTATACAATAATGTATAGTTCAAAAGGTCACCAAAGGTATTTCAGTAAGTCTGTAATCATGATCAGTAAAACTGTGGGAGTTATTTTACGTAGGCCAATTCTGACTGGCTTATTTGCAGACTGAGTATGGATCGCCGTATCACTTAATCTCCAACCTACTTCATAAAGATGAATGTATTCACCATCTGTAGTCAGTTTTCAGAATGACTTAGTTGTACGATGATATTTTATAAATTATTGAATTGTAGTAAGGCATTTTGGGGAGGATTTTGTTTCACCACGTATAATCATTGCAATTCACCTACCACTTCCATATGGCAATCTATACAATGATATGCATGCCTAAAATGAGGACCGTTAATAGCGTGTGACAGTTCGAAACCTAATGGAGGATGGAAAGTTGAAATCAATAGCTTAAGAAGGTAAAATTAAATTTTTGAAAGTGATATCTCTAGTAGAGGTAGTTATATTACTGACCTGTAATTATCGTGATGCATTAGCGTGACATAAAAGTTTATATTTCAAGTTTAGTACTAACTTGAGTTATGCAGTTGTAGTGTATACATTCGAATCGGTTGATGTCCCGAACTTTCATTGTCGCAAAGTAACAACTATTTGGAGCGGACTTAGATAATTGTTTAAGAACCTACATAAGTTTATATCGATTGGGAATTAGCCTAATAATGGCTAAATCTTTCATGATGAAATAAAAGGGGGTCCTTCACTGTATGACTGACAGTTGTGTAGTGGTTAGGCTGGTACATCACTTTTATCCAGGAAGCCTTATATACGCACAATCTTATCGTCCTGTTGAAAAAACACCGCGATTAGCTTATATTTTAATATTTATTTGTGAAGTTATGTATATTAGAGTTAAGCCTGACGAAATCGGATTGAAAACAATATTGTTCGTCTGAATGTACCGTTCTAAATTTTGCAGTGGGAATATTTTGATATTTCATGGAGAACCTATTGCATTCAAGGCGCTCAATGAGTTCCTGAGGTTTAGTACAAGGTTCACTGAATCGAAAACATCGTTGGTATTTTTAAAGAATGTGTAGAAACCAGATGTTATCCCAAACTATATTGGAGGTCGTTAGACGAATGGGAATTTATCCTAATTCTAAGAGTTTAAAAAGACATGCCCTTAATCGGATTGATTTTGTTAAAACTATAAATGATCTGGAAAGAAACATATCACAAAGACAATTTTCAGTTGATGATTCACCTCAGCATTTATAATTGATGTTTTTGTAATATATTGACAACGTAACAGTTAACAGAAGGAATAAAAGAAGGATTAGTCTCAACAAACCTCTTGAAAGCCAAAAGCTTGGAAGCGAATTTCCATCTGTCCCGGGCTGGTATGTTCACAATTTCTCCAGTATCAAGCTTAATAAGTTTCATCTTTTAAGGTGTTATCTCTAGGTTCTAAATTTAGTGACTACGATCCTAGAGTTAGTCAATTAGACACTGATATACAGTTTGAAAATTTGTATTCTCAAACGTCTGACCTTATCTCATCATCGGACGATGAACTAACTAGGTCCAAAACGACAGTAGTTGACAGTACAAAAATAACAGACATTCAGTAAATAGTCTGTTATCTAGGCAACACCGAGAAGCACTAAGAGAAACTTAGAAGTAATGAAAGCTATATTATTGGCAAGCCAGATAAAGGTGACCGTGGAGTTTCACTGGATAAAAGCGATTACGTTGAGAAAATGGAAGGTATTTCGAGTGATCAAACTAAATTCCAGTCTCTTGGTAGTTCCAAAGACCTCAGTGTAAAAGCGGAGAAACTAATGACAGACTCTCTCGAAAAACTGAACCAAAAAGGAGTATTATCATCAGCCATGTATGAGTCTATGAAACCAACGGGTACCGATACTCCACGTCTACCCGAAGTGCACAAACCGAGTCTTCCTCTTCGCCCTCTTTTAGATATGTATAGCTCTCAATTTCACGGAACAGCGAAGTGGTTAGTGAAAATTCTAGGATCTTCGCACAGAGAAATCGTGTGACATAGAATTAGTGGTGTCTTCGACTTTATTTCTAAAATATCCGAGACTAATGTGAAGGATAAACGTTTGTTATCCATGGATGTATCATCACTATTCACGAATGTACCACTTATGAAAACGGTAGATTACATTTTTCACGAAATCACTGAAAGGCAACTGGACTTAGGAATTCCCATGTGTAGCCTCAGAGAATTACTCCTTAGATGCACTTTGTCTTCAATAATTCATACTACCGACGAGTAGATGGAATACCTATGGGTTCACCATTAGGTCCAATATTAGCTGACTTCTTCCTCGCAAAACTTGAAAACGGGGAATTGAAAGACATCATCAAGGAGTTTGATATATATTACCGTTATGTCGATGATGCATTTATCTTAGCTGATGTGAATGTAAACACAGACGAATTGTTGATGAAATTCAACAACGTCCAACCTTCACCTACTGTTACTTTTGAAGAACAGCAGGATGATAAACTGCATTTTCTGGAGATCTTGCTAAGTAGATGAGGAGATAGGTCAATTGGGAGAAGCGTGTATAGAAAAATCACATTCACAGGGCAATACAAACACTTCCTTAGTTATGTGCCCACTGAATATAAAACAAATATTGCTAAGTTTCTTACGAGAAGAGCAAAAAAGATATGTCCGGATGATCGTTTACAAAAGGAATCTGAATACATTAATGACTCTTTGACGGAGATGAGCCATTCGAGTAATTCCATAAAGAAACATATAAACACGCTGGGTAGAAAACCTGAGATTATCATAGCACGTGAAAATCTCTATTTATTAAGTTACAATTTGTCGGTGACTTGTCAAGTGCGATTTTATTCCAAAGACTTTCTAGGAGTATACGAAGAACCTTTCTACACAGGAAAGTTGTCTCTCATTCTCTAGCCAACAAATGACTGGGACTCAAACGCGGGATAACCTATATATTTTTGCCACGTCTCTGTATATTCATCAATTCAACTGCACCTTCAGTGGCAGTTATGTTGGGCATACTAATAGACGGCATCTCCCACCGTGGTTTGGCAAAGGACAGACAAAAACCAACCGTAGTGCCGTTTTATCACATTTGGTTGATAGTGGTCATTTAGTAGAGAGAACGAAGGCATTCAAGGTGATTCATTGCACCCCACGAGTCTTTCCGGTTGACTTCGTATTCGTCTACAGCGGACAGCTGAATCGATGAGCATTCAAAAGAAGTTTGTACAGCTATTTTCCCCCTTTGGCCTATTAAGACCTAAGGAACTGATGATGTCACCACCACCTCTTGCTTATATTTTCAACCCCTCTCTTGTCATCCCTAATTCTTATCACATCTTCATGAAGACATAATTTACTTAATCGGTCCATTTGTTTTTCTTAGCTTCTATAGACTACTTCTACCTGAACATGTGATTGTTTAATTATGCTGTTTTTCACTATTCTTGCCATCACAGATAGCTCCATTTTTTCGTCTGTTACTGGCAGAACCATTATTACTATCGGTGTTATTATTATTGTGACTAATTGCACAATTTATATGCGTAATATTACCCTTCTATTGACAAGACACCGTGATTGGTTTACATATCAAACTATTAAAAGTGAACTTTGTTTGGATATATATATATTTATATATTAGAGTTAAACCTGATGAAATCTAATTGAAAACAATATTGTTTGCTTAAATGTGTTGTTCTGAAACTGTTGTTCTCCTCTTTTGATACATCTGACAATGAACAGGCGCTGATAGTTAATAGGATTATTCAGTATGCTAGGTAACAATTCACAGAAACGCTTACGACAGTTGTCAGATATCTTCGGAAAATAAATAGCGGTGTTGTTTAGTTATAATACACAGAACAAAGCTAACGTTTAAATCGACTTCCAGCTACAGTAAACCTCATAAAGCACCTGGGTGTGGTGATTTTCATATCCACTAAATAGGAAAGTGATTTTTTAGTCAAGGTTAAGTTAGAGAACATGATAGACGTTTTCTTCTGCAACATATGGCTTCAAGCTTTGAAATTCCGTTAGTGGTGCTGTTTCAAGGGAATGGGGTTACTAGCCTTACACCCACCTTTCCCTGTCTTCTAGGTTTGCTGCTGGCTGGACAAGGCTTAGCAGTGAGTTGGCCGGGAATGGAACTGGCAATATGTAAGTCGTTTACAAGCATTCTATCATTAAACTGCCGGTGCACACGACCGAAGGTGTTAAAGCAATATTATATGAAGTTACTATCATGTCCACACTTGAAATGGCTTCATGTAAAAGCTACGTACTATTAATTTTCTACCAGTTGTGGTCACCACAGCTCACACACTTTGCAACGCCGTCACTTGCTAGCTTACTAGTAGTAGATTATAGTTAAATCAGTTAGCAGATGCATCAGTTGCATCTTCATCTTCCGTCATGTGCCTAGGCATCAGAGAAATATTACTAGTGAACAGCTGTTTTCGTTTTGGCTCACCCAATTTGCTTAGATTAGTCGGATAGGGCTGTTCTTCAGAAAAATACGTTAGAGAAGAGTTTTCCTGATATGTCTATCGATATCTTGAAGCTCCTGCACAAAACAATACGTACAATATGACCATGTAACCAGCTTTCTTCACTGTTTCAAACCACCTTTGAGGTCAGGTATAGTT